AAGGTCCCTGAAGCACACACTGAGCACACACTTTCTGGGTGTTGACAGTGTGCCAGGCAGTATCCACAGGACAATGACACAAAGGTGAACTGTCCCAATCATTATCTTCAAGGGTCTTCCAGTGTCACAGAAGGGATCAAGATGCAGCTGGGCAGTTATAATAAAAAACAAATAAACCAAACTCACTGCCATGGAGTCAATTCCAACTCATAGTGACCCCCATTGGGTTTCTGAGTCGGTAAATCTTTACAGAAGTAGATTGCCCCATCTTCCTTCCACAGAGTAGCTGGTGGGTTTGTATCACCAACTTTCTGTTAGCAGTCAAATGCCGCCTAAGCTCTTTGACAGTTATAACAGGAGACTTGATTTAATGAATTCATTCAGTTGCTTATTTAACAAATATTTGTTGAGCAATTACAATGTGCCAGACCCTGTGGAAGGTGCTGGACACAGCAGTGAATAAAACAGATGCAAATCCTTGCCCTTGTTAAGCTTCTTATATTCGGAAGGGGTAGACAACGAAGATATAAACTTGTAAATATATCAGGGTCACATGACAATAAATGCTACGGAGGAAGCTGCCAGTGGAGACAGCTGAGCAAATGCTGTCCTTCCAAGTCCTCAGTTCTTCCTGTTACTTCCAAGTTGACCTTGATCCTGAGTTATAGCCTGTTGTTATGTGCTGTAGAGTCAGACCCGACTCACAGTGACCCCTCCTTGGGTTTCTGAGGCGGTATCACTATGGAAGTAGATTGCCCAACCTTCCTTCTGAGGAGTGGCTAGCGGGTTTGAACCTGTTGCTTCTCTAATAAACCCCATAATTGTGGGTATGGTCTGTGAGTTCTGGTGGCCATTGCAAATTATTGAACCTAGCAGAGAAGTAGAGTGTGCCGTGAGAGGGATGGCTGGTGTGAGAACTATAAAAAGGTGGGAGAGTGGAGTCTGACCTCCATCTCATAGGAATCAGTGTTGGACTGATGTTGATCTTAATTCTCCTTCCCCCTCCTGAATTTAGGCAACAAGTTCTGACACTACGTCATTTTTCACATCTGCCAACTCAACAGTTTTCAGGGTGTGACTTAGTGTTATCAATTGCATTAACCATGTTGTGTAGTCCATACCCTTAATCAATGCCAAATTTCCCATCACCCTAACTGAAACTCACTGCTTTCACAACTATGCCCCCCCCCCCCATAAATCTTTATATGGCAAGTCATTCATTTATCTCTGCAGCATTTTTGGAGAGCATCTTATCAGCCTGTTGCTTGGTCAGACACTGGGGTGGGCAACAGAAACGTGGCCCTTCGCCTCTCTGAACTTGAAATCTGCAAGTTATTGCAGGGGCGTGCGATCAAGGATGCTATTGGTGTTCAATGCCTTGGAATCTAACCTAACCTGGGAACTGGGAAGAATTCTGGAGGAAGTGACATTTACAAAGAAACCTGTAGAAACATGCTGTTGTCAGGCCAAGGAAGGGGTAGTGGTGAAGAACCTTCCAAGTAGAGTGATGGCATGCATTGGGCTGGGGGTGGGAGAGACAAGGGCTGTGCAGGGCACTGAAAGCAGTGGAAAGCTAGGCAGAAGCCAGATCAAGCAGGGCCCGTAAAGCATGTTAAGGGGCCATTGTACTCTGAGCCATTGTTTCAAGCTAGGGAGTGACATTGTTAGATGTGGATCTTAGAAAAATCATCTGGCTTCAATATGGAGAAAGGATTGGCAGGAGACCAGCGTAGAGGCAGAGAGAACAGTTAGGAGGCTGTTGGAATGGGCGCACAGGACACTGGGAGCCTGGACTGCAGTGGTGTCTCTGTCTTCACAGAATATGTTTGAAGTCTGTCTTCTTGGACTGCAAAGTCCACGAAGGCAGGAACCAAGTCTGCCCTGTTCAGTGCTATAAGGCCAACACCAACTTCTGTTCCTGGCACATCGTATGTAATTGATAATGGCTTGTTGAATGAATGTCTTACCATGGACCTTAGTTGACCTCCCTAAAAGTTATTATGTTAATCAGTACCAATACTTTCATTATAGCATTCTTATAAATAAACTGATGATTGTGAAAGCACTTTGTACATTGTAAAGTGTGTGTGTGTATCTTGTTTACTCCAAATTGGAAGCTTCCTTGCCCTCCCAAATATTGTACTAGAGACCTCATCCAGTACAAAAATAGCTTAATTAGAAAAAAACAACTTGCTAATATGGTTTTTATCATATTCAGATTGACTGCTGTCAACTGAGTAAGCATTCATCAACAGCAAATAATTATGTTTCATTCCTGGCTCAGATTAGGTGTTCCTGTGTGATACAATGGTCATGTGTTCAATTACTAGTCAAAAGGCTGGTGGTTCAAATCCACCCAGAGTGCCTCAAAAGGCCTGGTGATCTGCTTTTGAGTTTCTTGAAAACCCTGTGGGGCAGTTCCACTCTGCACACATGGGGTTGGCATGAGTCAGAATTGACTTGACGGCGAGTAACCACCACCACCCATCCCACATTAGAATCTGTGTTGTCCTCATTTTGTTCTTTTCACCAGTCGCCGCTGACATCTCGAAAGGAGGTGTCATGCACCTCTTTATCCTCCTCATTTAACCCAGAAGTTCCTGGGTGGTGCAGACTATTAACGGTGGGCAGCTGCTGAGACTGCAGGTTCAAGTTCACCCAGAGAAGCCTCGGAAGAAAGGTCTGGCATTCTAGACCCCAAATCAGCCATTGAAAGCCTTATGAGCACAGTTTTACTCTGACACAGATGGGGTCGCCATGAGTCTATTAGACTCAACAGCAAGTGGATCTCATATTATGCTCTCGTTACTGGCACTGAGTATCTGCAGCTGAATAGGTAAATTTACCATGGAAATTGACATTTTATCATTACTCATTCATATATAGGAGCTCTGGTGGTGTGGTGCTGGAGGCATTTAACTGCTAACCGGAAGGGTGGCGGTTCAAACCCATCAGCCACTCCTTGGAAGGAAGGTTGGGCAAACTACTTCCGCAGTGAGACTCCCTCAGAAACCCAAGGAGGGGTTGCTATGAGTTGGGCTTGACTCGATGGCAGTGAGTTTAGTTTTTTTTTCATTCATATATATGGTGCTAGATTCTAAATAAATGTATTTAATGCACTTAAATAGCTATTTTATTGCCAAATGCTTTATATACTTTAAATAATTTGAAAGGGAAAAGGATAACAGTGCAGGGATACCGCATCTCACTTTGCCTCCCATTTTTCCAGAGCTTGGCTTGTTGTAGGCCTACTGACCCCCAATCCGTCATAATCAACAAGATCATGTTTCCTTTTTCTTTGAGAGGCGATAATGGAAAGGTAAGAATGTTGGAAAGCTTTTCTGACACTTAGCCAGGTTTCCTTTTATTTTGTTTACATCTCTCTATGGTCCTCGGAAGGAAGATGGGGCAATCTACTTCCACAGTGATACTGCCTTGGAAACCCAAGGAGGGGTCGCTATGAGTCGGGTCTGACTCGACTGCACATAACAACACAACAACAATGGCCCACTAAATGATTTTCTATCTACAGTGCTTTAAAGCAAGATTTGCTCTTACGCTTAGCTCTTTAATTTTGACTTAGTTATTACATCCACATATCTTGGTCCTGCCCCATAAAACAGATCCTACAGCTTCTTAGTACTTGTTGCTTTTAAATCAATCCTTGCGGGCTCACCCTCTTGGGAGCAAACTCAGCTATCTAGAGTGGTCTAAGCAATTTGGAGAAAGAACTCTTTCTAAATTAACTTAAAATTTTTTTTTTTTTTTTTAAAACTTGTAATTTATTGTTTTGGTCCATGTCTGCCTTTCTCAATGTTCTTTTTTCTATAGTGATGAATTTTGTTAATAGACTCTTTGCTGAGGCAGAAGGATTGAGGGGGAAGGCTTTTTGCATACGTACTGTGGGTTCCTCACTCCTTACGGTAGTTCCCCCTGCTTAGTTCACATATACCATCCATACACAACATGTGACGAGTTTACAATCATTTTAATCCACTGCTGCTCTCTCAATTTTCCTTCTGGACTTGTCTCAAGGCTTGAGGAATTAAGTCTGTTTAATTAGCTTTCAAGTTTTAGGTATGCTAATTAATCTTTTAATATGTAAGCTCTTAATAAACAGTAAGACTGTAGCACAAAGCCTGTTACAGATTTTTTCACTAACACCGGTTTTCCTTTTATTTGTATGCACTATGTACTGTGTGAAAGCGACGACGCTCCCGTGTAAATATTTGAAGACATTGGGCAAGTCTGTTCAATTCCAGGGCTTTTGCCCTCTGCCATACTGCTTTGTCCATAGACCTTCCCCATCCTTCAGGTCTCAGCTCAAGGCGCTGCGACATCAACACACCAGTGGTTAAAGCGCTCAGCTAGCCCACCAGGCGCTCTGCGGAAGGATGTGGCAGTTCGCTGAATTGAAGAGTACAACCTTGGAAACCCTATGAGCAGTTTTACTGTGTCATATAACCTTATTTGTTTGCTTACTGCGTCCTCCCTTCACGTATTAATCCCTTAAGGGACAGGCCATCATTACTTCTCAGGGGTCAACAGCGTTAGCATACTTCTCAATACATCTCTGTTAAATGTATAAAATTTAGCATTCCAATGCACCAAGGCAGGAAATCCTGGCCGGAGGGAACATCGTTATTATAACTTTGCATGACTCCGCGGAAATCAAGTTAAAAATGAAATCTGTGTAGACGCCTGCCTTTTCGCCAGGCAGAAACTATGACTCAAATCTCACCTTTCCCACCCCGATGCTTGCTTAAGAAGGGAGAAGGGACCCGAATTGGGTCCCTAACGCCACCCTGAGAAGTCCAAAAGGGTCAGGAGACCCAAAGCACCTCGGCTCGCAGTGCGCGCGGGACACGCAGCCACCGCCACGTCAGCTGACGCGAGTGACGCCAGCGCGCCTGCGCGCGGGGGAGGCGCGGGGCGCTGAGAGCCGTCCCTACATCCGGGGCCTGGGCGGCCGCGGCGGCGCCGCGCTGTAGTCACGTGGCTCCTTCCTTTCCGCCTCTGGCCGGCTGGGCGCGGGCGACTACTGGCGAGGCGCGTGGGACCTCGCGCCGGTTCCCCTTGGTCTCCTCTCCCGGCCAGAGCCACTACGGAGTTCGCTGACGCCGGGTGAGCTGAGCCTGCTGCCAAGATGCCGGCCTACTTCCAGAGGCCGGAAAATGCTCTCAAACGCGCCAATGGTGAGTAGGGGATCAGGGAGCTCCTGGCTGGGACGGCCCGAGGCCTCGGAGGTCGAGGAGCCGCGCCTGCTTCTCTCTGCTCCGCTCCGGGCTGCGGCCGGCGAGGAGGCCGATGCGACCTGCCCGCCACCGTCTCAGCCTGTGGCTGAGCATGGTTTCGTCTTCTCGCCCCAGCGACTGGGGGTGGGAGGCGCGGAGCCGGGAACCGTCGCTCGGGGGCTTTTTCCTCCTTCCGTCTCTGGGTGCGTCGTGGGGGCTGCAATTCCGGAGACAGGCCCCACTCGGGCCGGACCTCCTTTTCCCAGTCTTCCTCCTGTTGGCTCCCTGGTCCTCGGGGCTTCCGTGTGCTTAGGCCCCGCGCCCCCGGCCGCCATCCGGGAGTGCCGGGAAGAAACATGGCTCCCTCCCGGGGACAATGCACGCGAGAACCTCGGCTCCACCTCCCGCCGGGGCCGGGGGCCTGGCAGTCCCAGCTCCGTCCCCCAAATCCCGCGCCGGCCCGTGCTGGGTCAGGGTTCCCTTAGCATTCCCCCAGCCACTTTCTCTCCGCCTCGGGGCGCCTGACCTATTTAACCTGTTTGCATTTTTCCAGGCCTCGATTAGGGCCTGCCCCACACCTCTTTCCGGATCCCAGGAAGTTGGAGCAGAGTTCAGTTCTGTTAAGGGACTCGGGTCTTGTCTTACAGATAACAAAACAGGCCCAGCGGCAGAGAATGGTTTGCCCAAGGTCACTCCGGCAGTTGGTTGCTGAGCCGGGAGACAAAAACAAGGTCTCCTGACAGCTAGACCAGCCCTTTTTTCGCAAAAGTCCTGCTGTCTGACCTTTTTCTGTTTCCATATGTGTACTTCAGCTGTCGGCGCTTGCGGAAAAACTTGTGTGTCCCGAAATTAATTTTCTTTCACATTCAAGTCACCGTCTAGCCAAGAGGCATTTATTATGAGGCGTGCATATGTGTCTATGCTTGTCTCTGATCTTTCAGAAAAAATTTATTGTGTAGGGTTTATTACTAATTTTAAGGCGTTCGGCGTCCATAGCGCTTATTTCCACTCTTCCTCCACCCAGAAAAGTTTTGGATCATGTCCATGTGTACATGGTATGCTGTGTCTATTACAGTTTTATGAGTTTGGTTCAAAATTCATCTTTGTGTTAATACATAGAATTGACAACTACTGTTGGTAACCTGTCCAGACAGATTGCTGTTGGTCTCATTATTGTTTTAATAGATTAATTCCATAGAGTATGAAATAGAATAATTGCTTTAAAAAACAAAACTACAGTTTAGCTGATTACCCCTCCTCGTTCTAACCAGCGACCTAATGACGAGAACAAGTGTGAAGTTTAAAGAGGTTTATTAACTTACAGGGGCTAAAGTAGATTTAAATGAAAACTTAGCACTACAAAATAAAGTTTAGTTGTGAAAAGCAAAGTTGTGATTTTTTTTTTTTTTTTTTAATTTTGAAAATTAGAAATATGGTATACAAAATTATTTGGGTGAAATTACTGCTCTATGTCGCTGTTGTAAATTCGTTTACCAGACTTTGTATGCTTTAACCAGCAAACGTTCTACCAGGTTGGTAGCTTGAAGCACTGTAATCTCTGGCCTAAATATGACACATTTGATGTGTTCAGACTGCCTCTTACCATTGCACCTTTTTTGAACCTTATAAATTTAATATTTTGATAACTTTTTAAAATTAGTGAAGTTGTATAATTTGTGTCAAATCTTGTTCTGTTGACTGCTTTTGAAATGTGCTTTGAAGGGCAAGCTGGGTGGAGTACCCAGAATTCCAGTGGGGGGGGGGAAGGATACTGTGGGGAACACGGAGTTTTCTTTGTAATTTTTTAGAAGTGCCTACTGACTCCTTGCTGCAGGTCTCTGAAGCTGTGGGGTGGGGATTTCTATGGTAGAGATGCCTTCCCAGTGGTGACTTCCATAATTTTGATCTTGTAAATGAGGGTTTCCTTCTCCAAGTGTCAAAGTGAGTGGATTGTGGCTGGAGGGGTCATATGGCACTGCTTACAAAACTTGAGAGGATTTTGGTAAAAGTACATTTCATTCAGTGGAAATAATTTTACTAAATTATCGATTAAATGTTTTAGTCATAACATTTAACTCCAAACCTGTTTAGACCCAATTAATTGCATTATCTTAATAAAGCATGAATAAATTTAAATAGAATAGTCCTTCAAGTCACCATAAGTCTTGTGTATCAAAGCAATATTTTTAAATAAAAATACATGTTTGTGTATATGTGTGTGTGTGTGTGTATAGTAATCATTCAGGAAGGTGAGAATTTGACTCAGCAGTTATACCACATTCATATCCCAAAAGCTCTTTTTTTCAGATTTTATCTGTGTATTGCAAGCATAGCTGCTCCTGACCCTATAAAAGTCTTTTAATTTGTTCTCAGGGAGCTTTGGTGCTGCGGTGGCTAAGATATGCTGCTAACCAAAAGGCTGGTGGTTCTATCCCACCTGCTGCTCTGAGGGAGAAAGTTGAGACATTCTGCTTCCAGAAAGATTTACAGCCTTGGAAACCTTTTGGTTTGTTTTATTCTGTCCTGTAGGGTCACTGTGAGTTGGAGTTGAGTGGATAGCAATGTATTTGTTTTGGCAATTGGTACTCTGGGACTAGTGATTTAGAATGAAGTTGTTATAAACAACAAAATGAAACATTGAATAACAGTATACCTTATTTCCTTGGTCGATTGCACAAGTAAACTAATAAATGTGAATGAGGGGCTGAGCTAGGTTATATTTGTGGATACATAGTTTAAGTCATTGTGTCTGCAAAGTAAAATCAGTCTTAGGAAGTTGTAATTGCAGATGTTGTATTTTAATTAAGAATGTCAATCTGGAAATAAACATTTCTTAAATATTAGAATAGGGTCTTTATGATAGTTCTTTCTGGCCTCAAAAACTTTTCTTCCTGTTAGATAATTCTGAGGAAGTTAGACCTCATTGTGTGTAAGTTAGGGTATAGACAGGAAGACTCCAGTCTTGGATTCGCATGATGAGTTGTCTGTTAGGGAGATTTTTGATGAGCTAATATTGAATTTATTTACCAGTTTCACATATAATGCTAATTTTTGAAAATCTGCTCCCATTCCAGCTTCTTTTCAAAACTGTATCCTTGGCTAGTGTCCAAGTTTTCTGTTTTCCATTTTTTTTGGGGGAGAGGGGTTTGTCTAGCCTTTATTCGAAATATATTTTTTTAAATGTTTGAACTTAATGTTTCAAAGTTTGAAACTATGGGATTTGGAATCATGAATTTTGATTTAGGAAGTGAAAAATGCTTTCATCTTTACTTCCAAAATGGACTTTTAAAAAAAGATTAGAATGACTTTGAGAAACTTTTGTCTCCTTTAAAAATGAGTGATTGGGAAAGTGAATTATTTTTAGACAGTTTTGTATTTTGTCGTCATGCCATCCCAGGGCCAGCTCCGCTTGAGCTCTGCTTGTGTGTGTTCCAGCTTGCAAGTGTGTTGACTGTGTGATAGCTTGAGACTCCTCCTCAGTGTGGGAGTGGGAGTTGTGTGTGGTGGCCCTCTTAGTGCTGCTGTTGAGGTTTTATTAATGTGAAAGCTACATTTGACAAGAAGCATTACTTCTAAAATTTTGGCTAACAAAGATTGTTTTTGTTAAATAGTGGTAGAAAACATCTAAAGTAATATGTGGGATTTTAGAAAAGAACCTTATCAGCATTCCCAGAAGAAAACCAAAAGGCCCCACCTTAAAACAGGGAAAGTTTATTCCAACAAAGTTTCTAGTTGTGTTGCATTTTTGTTTCATGTAATAGGATTTTTTTTTTTTTTTTGTAATAAGATAGAATTGAAAGTGGGCAGTTTCTCCATAATGGCAGAATTGATCGTGAGATTACTAATTTGTAGTATTGAAGAGGATAGGATTTTCATTTTTGTGTGAAAGATACAATTTGATATTCTAAGGGGGTGACCTTATTAAGTGATGATACTTACATTCAGTATGTTGTCATTTGTCTTGTTGCAAATTGTTTGATACACGGGAGGGTTGAGATACTGTGCTTGGTTTTCCTAGAGGAAGGAATGTTGGGAAGCAGCATTCTTGGAAGATGTGATAGTTAAAAGAAGAAATGGTAGAAAGAATTACTCACTCTGTAGATCTAGTAAAATCCTCAAATGAGGGCTGTTTCTGTCTAGTGGTTACATAATAGTTAAACAGTAGTAGGTTAACTTCAAAGTAAAATAGTTGATTCAAGATTCTTTTTCTTAGGAAGAAAATAAAACATGATTTTAAAAAACAGATTTGGTTTTTTAGACATTTATACTATAATACTGTAGTTCCTTCACATGATTTTTCGTTTGTACTAGAAAGATTTTTGTGTGGAATTTTGACAGTCATTGAATTTCAGGTTGGACTTAATTAACTAAATGACTTAGGTTAAATAACTTTTTTTAGTTTATAAAATATTTGTTTATGAGAAAATGAAATGAAAGATGAGAAAAGGACATTTTTCACCTTGGTCAAAAATAATGTGACAGAGGACTCTCTGCATCAGACTGGATTTTGAAACAAGTACTATGCAGGAACCGACAGATTGCGTTGGATTTAGACGTGTTGCCTCGCCTCAAAAGAACAGCTGTTTCTTTGCTCTGACTGAAGCCCACCGCTGATACAGATGTTTTGAGTTGTTCCTCATGACCTTCTGTTCCATAGTTCTTATCCAGGAAGCCACATTACATACACGTTAGTCTCCTTTTGGTTGTGACAGGACTCTGCTTGTTTTTGGTGACTTTTGATGGTTTTGAAGAGTACTAGTCATGTATCTTGTAGAATGTCCCTCAAGTGGAATTTGTCTTATTTTTCTCATGATTAGGCTAGGGTAAGAAGTTCTGTATTCATGGACTGGAAGACTCAATATTGTTAAGATACCAGTTATCTGTAGGTCAATGGCAATCCTAGTCAAAGTTCCAGTGAGCTATTTTGTAGATGTTGACAGACTGATTCTAAAGTTACAATGAAAGGGAAAGGACCTAGAACAGCCAAATTAGACCTATATATACCAGTAGTCTATAGGTCCATGGCAATCCTAGTCAAAGTTCCAGTGAGTTATTTTGTAGATGTTGACAGACTGATTCTAAAGTTACATTGAAAGGGAAAGTACCTAGAATCAGCCAAGACTGAAGAAGAACAACAGAATTGGAGGACTCACACTACTTTGTTTCAAGACTTTTATTATAAGGCTGCAGTAATCAAGACAGCATGATATTGGGGAAAGATCAATGGATCAGTATAGAGAGGCCACAGATAGACCCACACAAATATGGCCAACTGATCTTTGACAAAGGAGCAAAGGCAAGCTAATCTCTTTTTTTTTGCCTCAAGGTATATAGCATGAGCTACCAAAAATATCAACTAGATCAGTGTGACTGTGAAGTCATAATAGAGCCTTTCTAGGTTTACAAGGGGAAATTTTTTCTAGTGACTTCAATTTCTGTAATCTTTTTTTTTTTTAGAATTTTTATTCTGATTTGGGTGAAAGTTTACAGAGCAAATTAATTTTCCATAGAGCTCACATACACTTTGTCTCATGACATTGACTGCAATTTCCGAAAACGCAACAACTCCTTTCCCACTTCCTCCCCATAGTTACCTCTTCCCTGTGTCTTTCCCTCCATGCTCTCCTGCCCCCTGAGCTGTCTCCCTGTCCATATGCAGCCCTTCTATTCTCCCATTATTGATCTCCCCAAGGAGTGTATCTACCTAATGTAAATGTTCAGCTCATGCCTCTCCTTTGTTTGGCTGGAAGCCACAGGAGTGGGCTTAATTCCAGAGCTGAAGGGCAGCTAGGGGCCATAATCTAAGGGGTTCCACCAGGCTCTCAGATGAGCAAACCTGGTCTTTTTTTTTTTTTTTTTTTTTAATGATTTTGAGTTTTTCCACATTGTTCTCCCACTCTATCCAGGATCTCCTGCATAACTCTCCCTCCAAGCGGCTGATGGTGGTAGCTGGGCACCATCTAGTCTGGTCTCATAGTGGTATAGGCTGAGGATCGCATGGTGTACCAGTCCCTTGGACTAATTGTTTCCATGCGTCATTGGTTTTCTTCATTATTCTTTGTTCTGGATGAGGGGAGACCCATCATTGCATCTAGATGGCCGCTTGCAAGTCCCTACTCTATAAAGTAGGATGTGGAACAGTGTTTTTTGTATACTATGTTATGCCAGTTGAACTTGATGTTCAATTTCTGGAATTTTTAAATTGCTTAGAAAGATAGGGTTGATACAGTGGAGTTGGGTGAAATCCAGTGTAACCCATAGAGCATATTTGAGAGACCACCACTTTTTACCTTGAACCATTGTGGCATAGCTTTAGAAGTTAAAAATAAATGTGACCAAAAATTAACGTGATGTCATGAGCTTAGAAATTAATGCAGCCAGTTATAAAAAGGAAAGTTTAGGCTTTTGGGTATTATGTAATTAATTCTAATTTGCTGGAATTATTTTTCCAGAGTTTCTTGAAGTTGGCAAAAAACAGCCTGCTTTAGACGTTCTTTATGACGTTATGAAAAGTAAGAAACACCGAACATGGCAAAAGATACACGAGCCAATTATGTTGAAATATTTGGAGCTTTGTGTGGATCTTCGCAAGAGCCACTTGGCAAAGGAAGGATTGTACCAGTATAAGAATATTTGTCAACAGGTAAAAAGAGGGGGATTGGGCTTTACATTTTTAGTAAGTGCTTTAAGTGATTCTCAGTGGAATTTACCTTTCAGAATGAATGTGTCTTGAACTTCATATAGTTTGCTTTTTAACCATTTTATTGTTAATTGAAAAAATATTTTCCAGTTTTGATGGTTTTTGTTTGTTTCCTTAGGTAAACATCAAGTCTCTGGAGGATGTTGTTAGGGCTTATTTGAAATTGGCAGAAGAGAAAACTGAAGCTGCAAAGGAAGAATCCCAGCAGATGGTCTTAGATATAGAAGATCTGGATAATATTCAGACTCCTGAGAGGTATTGGGGATAAACCTCTAATGATGATTTTCATGGTTAATCCATTGTTTTTCTTTGTATGTGCCGCCATCATTCCTATTGGAAGTAGATATTTATCAGAAAGATTGTGTATCTTTGAAGTTTTAAATGTAACCAAAAAGTCACATAATTACTCATCAAAATTTGTAACAGTGAGAGTTATATATTAATTTAAACAGTTGTAATGCAGATTGGGAAATTCAAGTATTTGGATAGTAAGCAACAACTTTACAGTATGCACAAAGGTACAGGAAGTTCGTGGTCATCATTGTTGACATAAGTTTTTTAATCACATGGTAAAGTAGAAAGTAATGTTTTTAATGTCTGCTTCTGTTTTTATAGTGTTCTCCTGAGTGCTGTAAGTGGGGAAGACACTCAGGATCGTACCGACAGATTACTTTTAACTCCATGGGTTAAATTCCTATGGGAATCCTACAGGCAGTGTTTGGACCTTCTTCGAAACAATTCTAGAGTAGAGCGTCTCTACCATGATATCGCCCAACAAGGTAAAGCCAAGAGCATGACCTTCGAGAAAATGGATTTGAAAAGCTAATTTAGAAATAGATTTTGCAGAAAATCAATTAAGGTTGAGTAAAAGTTTTTCTCCAAAGTACT